ATAAAATGTGTGTGTGTCTGATGTACATAAATTCAGGAAATGCTTTTTACATGGCCAAAATTAAGCGACTGGCTGTAGTTTATCAAAGTAAATACTTTTGTGTCTACTTAGACACAGGAAGTAGTTAGGGGAAGGAGAAAGGGTACATGTGTGTGGCCATCCATTCAGAGAATGCTCTTCTCTTAGCACACCTTTTCCTCAAGCACACTTGGCTATTCTCTTTTATCTATTTAATACACTTTTTTTTAAACTTTCTAAACAATGCATGAGACATTTCATCCTTCTATATTCTGCTTCACTGCTTGAATAAGAGTTTAAATCATTTGCCTAAACTGTGATAATACAAACAGCCTTTTATCCTCTTAGGATGTTTTCAGAAAGAGTCTCTTTTTAATTTAATTCTGCTGGCCATATCTGGTGAGTATCTAAAGGAGTCTTATGTCAGTGCTTAACAGTGTTCGCACATGCATATAACACATACTCACACACACATGCACACACACATACATGCACACACACATACATGCACACACACACATGCACACACAGGTAAACACTATCTTGTCCCTTAATACACTGAACAAATGGTAAAGCTCCCAGTAATCCTTGGTATTAACATAATTATCCAAGAAAATTGAGAGCCAACTCTGACACCGATGCCAGTTAGGTTTCCCACAAAGAACATAGAGATTAATGAGCACAAGACAGAAATGATGTCCCTGCCCTCTCTCACCCAAATTTCATTGTCATATTTCTACTACAGTCACTATACAATTATTGCCTGCATATGTCTGCATTGTGTGTAAAAGATAATTCCCTGGTGTGGGAGGTCCTTCTGTCTGTGTGTCGCTTTTCTTGGTTAATGAATAAAGAAAAGCTGTCTTGGCCTGTTGATAGGGCAGAACTTAGGTAGGCAGGGAAAATGGAACTGAATGCTGGGAGGAAGAAGGCAGAGTCAGAGGCACGCCATGGAGCCACCAGAGATAGATATGCTGAAACTTTGTTGGTAGGCCATGACCTTGTGGTGATGCGCCGATTAGTAGAAATGGGTTAAATTAATATGTAAGAGTTAGACAATAAGAAGCTAGAGCTAATGGCCAAGCAGTGATTTAATTAATACAGTTTCTGTGTACTTATCTCAGGTCTAAACTATCCAGGCAGCTGGGAAGAACAAGCGGCCCTTCCTCCAACAATTCCCATTGATTCTTTCACTTCTCCAAAGCAACTCTCTTTCATTGACCCTCACATCTCAAATAATGTATACTTCCATAAAGTAATATTGAAAATGAACAAAGAGAAGTGCTTAGCTTTAGCTTTTACTATCAAAATATGCTGCTGATGTTCTTCTGTTAGTACTTACATAGTTATACTGTGGCAAAAGATCTATTTCCAAACTCCCCAAAGAATTTAAGCATCCAGTAGAAAGGACTTTCTTATGTTTTTCCTGACCCCCCAAAGTGTATTTGACCTCCTCAGCATCAGGAACATACAAACGTTTAGTGGATACAAGCTTTTGAAATTGCAAGTGTTTAATTTTGCTTACTGTGGCATTTCTATTTGTGCTGCGTACCACAACTATTAACACACACAGTCAGCATAGATGCTTTAATACTTATTTTCTGATTCCATGCATTTCTCACCAGTACTCTTAATTCTGGACATAGACAGTCACCCCAATATGTATTCAAACTGGAAAGTATATACTATAATCACATAGGCACAAATATTTCTTGTATCTGGAAATATTAACTTCCTTACTTCCCTTTCAAAGTTTTACCCTTGTCTCTAATGCTGGCTGAGCAGAGGTACCTGATGTACCACCACTATCAGCTAAATGCTGGCTGCCAGTTACACTGGTGGCTGTGTTTCTCATTAACAATTGCAACTTCATTTCTTATGACTGTATCTTCATTCTATGACAGCCATGTGTGAGGACCTTGGAAAACGTTAGCTCCTAGTAGACATCAAAGCCTCAAAATAAATATCCCAGTGCCTGGAATGTGTTACCTCTTTTGGAGCTGTTGGTCAGTGAGGTTTCATATATTGGTGATGTGGGATTTCCCTCTATATGCTGTGATTACCATTAACGAATAAAGATACTGCTTTGGACCTATAGCAGAGCAGAACATAGAGCTAGGCGGGGAAGACAGAACTGAATGCTGGGAGGAAGAAGGACGGAGTCAGGGAGAAGCCATGGAGCCTTCGCTGGAGACAGATGTGCTGAAACTTTACCAGGTAAGCCACAGCCACATGACACTACACAGATTAATAGAAATTGATTAAATTAATATGTAAGAGTTAGCCAATAAGAAGCTAGAGCTAAATGGGCCAAGCAGTGATTTAATTA